CACTTTCCATGTGTGTTATTTGAGGAAGTTCACGGGAGATGTTCCCGACATAATTCCAATTTCTGAATTAAGATTGGATGAAAGCAAGAGGTTAATTGAAGAACCGGAGGCAATCGTTGACCGTAAGACTAAGAAGTTGCGACGCAAGAATGTCTATTTAATGCTTGTGCGATGGAAACATACGAATGAGCCAAATCTCACCTGGGAAACGGAGAGTGACATGATGAGTCGCTATCCGCATTTGTTTGCTGATGTGTGATTCCGAGGACGGAATCATCCTAAGGGGGAGAGAATTGTAACGTCCGTGTTTCTAGGCTAGGCATTAATGATGATGTAATACTCTAGGCCAACCTTTGTAATTTGTTTTGAAATAATAAGATGTATTATTTGAGTATTATGTGCTTATTGCTTAATTGTTATGATTTAATGAATTAAGAATAAAAAAATAAGCGTCGAAAATAAATTTTAGATAAACCCGATATCTATGAACAAAGTGGTAGTGGTTGAAATAAGGATTCCGGATATATAAAGAATACTGAAATCTGAGTTATAACGAAGAAGTTATGACATGTCCAAGTTTCGCGACAGAACCGGCATGACGTTGTATGACGTAAAAAGTGAATTTACGATAAAGTGTTTTTTAGCCTTAGCAATCTAAATGAAATTCGTAGTATTCGTTAAATCGAGAGCGTGTATAAAAAGAATGTCCAAATCTGACTTCGTATGAGGAAGTTATGAATTTTTTAAGATTTGGCACAACAGTATGCAGCCCGAAACTCGAATTTTAGATCGAGTGATTTTTAGCCAAAACAACCTAAACGAGAATCGAAGATCTTGTTGAAAGTAGTTCAACGGTAAAAAGACAGACGAAAACGGACGTCGGATGAAGAAGTTATGAATTTTTAACGGACTTTTTCTGTCCCGACATGTTAAAAATATAACTTTTAAAATAAACTCAAAATTAGCCGACGAAGTCTAAACGAAAGTTGTAGAGAATAGTCTCACCTACGCGTGGATATAAAGAACGTCAAAAACGGAGTTCGTATGCGAAAGTTACAAATTTTTGAAGTTTGAAAATTCGGATTACGCCCAGCGTACTTGTGTTTACGGTCCGAGGTTGGCCACGTCGCCTACTCATTCGCATGATGGACACGTGTTCGTAGCCTTGACGCGTCTGGGTTGATCCCTTCGTACGCCCAGCGTACTGTGTGAAGAGGGAGTACGCCCAGCGTACTCTAAATTTACGCCCAACATAATTCGAGCTTTCAGCCCCTATAAATAGCGGACGATGCCAGCCGATTTTGGGTTACAAACTTTCATTCTCTCACCCTAAACTTTCTTCTATATTGCAAAAATTACCCCCAAGCCTATTTTATCATCTTAGCATCATAAGCAAGTTCCGGAGAGCCCGAAGATCCCGAGAAAAAGAGTTTTTGAGCCGAAACTTTGTCCGCGTGAAGCCCGGTTTTTGGGAAAACATCCCGGTTTTATCGGAAACGATCATTTTAAGAGACGAGGTGTTGCCCGATTATCGTTAAATCAAGTAAGTGTGTAGTCATTTTCATCTTACACATAGATATGAAGTATTTTCTATAAAATGCGTGTTATATGTAATTATAGTGTTTGTTTATTTGAGATGGTGTTGAATAAATGTTTTATACAAGTTTTAAACTGTATATATATTTTTATCTACAAATATGTTGGGTAAAACATTGGTAGATGAAATAGTTGATGTGTGTTAAAATGATGAGAGGCCTCGATGTTGTTGTTGTTGTTGATGATGTTGTAGTCATCTAGCGGAGTATAGATGACGACCACGGACCTTTCTAGACAGTCCAGTGAAACGCTAGCAGGTTCGCAACCTGTAGGTGTCGGTGAACTATATGTTCGCTTGTGTTCTCCATCCCCCTCATGGTTGCCTTAAGGACATGTATGGCTGAGGAATCCCCTTAGCAGTAGTGTCCATCCCGATGATGATCCTTAGGCTAGGTCCCTTGTGATAGGTGTTTAGGGACGTAAAGTGAGGATAACGGGAATGGATAATCAGGGTTATTGTTGGTTGATGAAATTAATAAATTTATTTTTGGTTGATGAATTTAATAAATTTATTATTAATTGTGGGTTGAAAACTCTATATGCTCACCAGGCTCCCAAGCCTGACCCACTCAGCTTTTTATATTACAGGTAGTAGACCCAGAGCATAGTTGGATGACAACGAGAGATTTTTGGATTATAGGCCAGTAGTTGTAAATAACTGTTGTAAGGCTTATAATGTATTGTTTATGCTTTTGGTCTGTATCGGAACATGACATCCTGAGGTTTTGATATATAATGAAAATATATATTTCTTTAAGAAATGTTTTGATAATTTTTTATCATGTTTTATTTTGGGGACAAATTCCGCAACATCTTTTAAAAAGATTATTCTTATTTTATTTTAAAAGCATAAATTAAATCGGTCTTTTCTGACCGAGAAATTTGGGGATGTCACACTTAGCCTTACAGTTGCTACTTATGTTGTTTAGCAGGACCATTAGGTGTGAGGAAGGGAAATGAGTCGGCATGACTGTGACATCTGGACATTCTCAAGGCATGGCATTTACCTGTCTCGTATTTATCGCTTTATGAGATAATTTTCAAAACACTTTTATGCTTCCACACTTTCATGTTTTTGAGTACTATATTGTGATGAGACGTGTTGTTGCAAATTAATGTGGTATCATGATTGGAATGATGTCTTATTAGGATCATTTACTCTAAATTAAAAAAAAAATGGGTCGAATTTTGGGATGTTACACCACTGCAAATAGGTATATACTCTAAAACACTGATTATACGAATTTATTTTTTCAGTGACACAAAGTTGTATATGGTCTAGATATGCATATTTTCTCAAATGGATGCCAATAGAAATATTTTATTCTTGTGTCTATGAACTTCGGAATGTCCGTAAATTCCAAACTTAAATTCAAAATGCACCTTCCGGTCCGAAATGTACGGTTTCAGATTCCGGATGTCATATCCCGTCAACCACAAAATAACCTTTATCACTCCACTGAAGAATGCAACATTCCAAACATGGTGGTCATTTTGCAAATTTAGAAAGAAACAAAATTGTTTATTTTCATTAACACTTATTTACAAAATAAGGGTTAGTTTAGTAAACTAGTAACTAATAATTATGGTTACACAATTAAATGCAATTTAGAAATATTGTCATTTTCGGTTTTTTAATGATTATCCATTGCTTAAATTAAAGTTACTTATAATTTTAATATATGATTCAATTACGATGATTCACAAGCCTTGTCCATATGAAACATGAGGAATTACGATGATTTGATCATTTGAAATACAATGAAACTACATCACTCATATAAGAAAAACAAGCCAAACTACATTGCTATTTCCCCAAATTGCCTTATCACAAACTCATAATTCAATTTCTAAGCAAAGCCAAACAAACAATACAAGCCGATGGGTATTTCATATATATAAAAAAAATGATTGATATATAAAAGAAAATGTCATATTTACCAACAGATAATAATAATAAAAAAAGTAGTAAGTAACTTCTTTCGAGTTTTAACCAAACATTCATAATACTAAGCAGCTTGAAAATCCCCAAAATCTTCATCGGGTACATCTTGAGCGATTTGTTTGTCAATAGCCCGAGGCTCGTTTGACTTGTCAACAACAGGGGACAACGTTTTCTCTTTCTCTTTCGGAGTAAGAGTGAAGTTTGGCGGTGACGTGGGCGGCGTAATCACAGCGGCAACTGGCGGTGATAGTGGTGATGGCGGTGGTGGTGGTGGTATAAGAGAGATTCCCACTCCCACCTCCTTTCCTTTTTCGTTTGGATCCGGGAGATTATTTAATCCTAGCTCAAAGAACTTGGACCTCATGCTTTTACCACCTTTCTGTAATTATAATACAATAAATAGCAAAATACTTTCAATTCATTTCTTATTTGGTGAAAATTGATTATTTCGGCTAAATGGTTTTGTTAATGGCTTTTGAAAGTTGAATATTTTTGTTCCCAAGGGTTGAATGCAAGGAATAGCAAAGTACTTTTTATTTATTTGTTTATTATATTTATAGCATCCTATTTTCATTCGTTTTCGTATTACAATTATATTTTCAAATATATACAAACATATATCAAGTAATTTCATTGGTATAATGGGTTAAAGTTTTCAAACTAGAATGTTGTAATAGAAAGAAATGAAAGTATATGATTTTATAATAAATAAATAAATAAAAACTCAAAGTATGTTGGATGATTCGATTTTTTCACCATATAAAATGAAACACTTCTATCCCATTAAAATAGAGTTTATAAAAATCGTTGAATGATTTGTCAATATACAGAAATCACATAGAAAGTTACGCCTAATGAAATACAGAAAATCACTTTTTTTTAAACACAAAAGAAAATAAGTAATTAAACGGTGAAAATACAATTGGTTTTCTGTTAAAAGTTTTTTCATGGGACACGAGTATGTATCAAACAAATTCAAAGACCAAATTTTATTTTTCAAATTTGAATTTGAAATTAGACAAAAAAAAAAAAAAAAAAAAAAAGCTTACGTTTTTTAGTTGAAGCACAATGGTTTCCCCATCTTTTAAACTGTAATCAACTGCAGACGTTTGCTGATATTGCTGTTCCATTTCTTCAGCAGTTTTCTTCTTGTCAAGATACCTTCGCTCCATATAAACCAAAACATCTTAAAAAGGGTACATTTGTAATTTTGTTAATTATTATTTATTACATGTGACAGGATTGGACAAACTTTCTAGGGCTATTTTCAGTGATGAGGACCAAGAAGGGCATTTACGTCATTTTGCATGGACGATAGATCTTATAGGGCTATTTTCATTGATGAGAATGAGAAGGGCATTTACGTCTTTTTCACAAGGATTAGAGACATACTTCATATGATCATGAAGAGCAGCTTGGAAATCATAAGCTTGAGGTCTTTCTCGGAATCCTATACCAATAAAAGCATGTCGAAGCCTCCCACCTGCATCATTTTTTAGATTAATTAGGAAAAATTTTATTAGATTCAGTTTCCTTTTTTAGATTATATATTTATATAAAAACAAAATTGCAAAATTGGTCCCTGTGGTATGTCGAAAATTGCTACTTTGGTCCAAAAAGGTTTGGACTAGCACCAGTGGTTCAAAATTTTGATTTTGTTCCAATTTGTTTTGAATTTTTTTAAAATGACGATTTTGCCCTTTGTATTTTCTTTTTACAATTTTTTTGAAGCTGTTGGGGGAGGGAGTAAGGGTGGGGTAGATGCTATAATTTTTATTTAATTTTTAATCAGGAAACTACAAAATTAATAATAAAAAAATTGAAAAAAAGTAAATACAAAGGGCAAAATCGTCATTTCAAAAAAAAATCAAAACAAAATTGGAACAAACTCGCAACAAAATCATAAGTTTTGGACCACTGGTGCTAGTCCAAACCTTTTTGGACCAAAGTAGCAATTTTCAACATACCACAGGGACCATTTTTGCAATTTTGTCTTATATAAATTAAGGTGATTATCTCACAATGTCAATACACAGAAAATTCCCATATATATACAATTACTTTTTCCATGCTTATTTTTATATATTATATTGTTTTAAATGGAACAAAGAAAAATTCATTAAAACATTCACACTTACCGATGTTCTCCTCTACACGTAGAACAAAATATCTGCAGAAAAATATAATTGTTAGTTGAAACACTAAAAATTATGATTAAATAAAAGAAAAAGCAATGTATTTTCACTGAGTTGTTTATTGTAGCATCCTATTTTTGTTTCTTTATATTACACTACATTATCTGTAAGTATTATGTCCTAAGAAAAATATCGTATTATAAAGAAATGAAAGTAGGATGATAGAATACACAAATAAATGAAAACTAGTGGAATGTCGTTCTGTATTTTTGGAATTTTTAGGGACCAATTCTGTAACTTTGCTATTAGTCGGGGATCAATTATGTAACTTTATGAAACATTAAGCTAAATCGTTATTAGATAGAAACTGCTTCTGTAACTTTGTGAAACATAGGGACCTTTTCTGTATTTTTGTAAATTCAATGACCATTTCTATATTTTTGTAAAATGCAGTGACTACTTTATATTTTTATGAAACAAAGGGACCATTTCTGTAACTTTGCTATTGGACAGGGTCCATTTTTTATAATTTTGTGAAACACAAAGACCATTTTTGTATTTCTGTTAAAAAAAATTAAAAGTAGGAAGTGTTTATGTAAACCTCCTGACAGGGACCATTTCTGTAATTTTCCTATAAACACAGGGACCAATTCTGTAAATTATTGGGACTTACCGGCTGCTATCAATAACAGGCTCCACAGGATGAGGCTCTCCATCTCTTAAAAAAGCACGTGCATAAAGTTCACCTACAAATTAAAAATAAATAAGTTATAAAAATATATATATATTTGTTTGCACAATGACATTTCATCTATTTCCCAATTTATTCAACAACATAGTTTCATTATTTCACCCAATCTATGAAATAATGTTTTCCTCTTTTTGCCAATTTATACAACTGACATAATTTCTGCAACCATGTTTCAAAAATTGGGGAAAAAAAAAGTAAATGTCATTAAATAAAGTAATAAAAAAATATTGAAGAGTGGAAATATTGTGACCTGTAGTCTTATCTTCAAGTCTGATAATACATTCTTCTCCTTTGCTTACTACTTTCATTGTTCCTTCCCATGCCCATTTGTTTATATCCCATTCATCAGCCCTGTAATTAATGGGGAATAAAATTACTCCAAAATCTCCCTTTTGCTACTTTATTATAAAAGAACCAATCAAGAATTTATTAAGATAATAATAATAATATAGAGACTATGTTATATGTATGTGGTTCAGCATATAAAACAAAGGGTTAAACTCATAAAAGTGTAAAAGACCTTATATTTTATGTTTTTTTTTCCGGAATAAATGTCAACTTTATTTTTTTCATGAGAAAGACCTTGTATTTTTTTCATTTTTTTCCAATCTGGCCCTTTTAGTTGTTTTTCTCTAAAAAGTTGTAAAATGTGAGGGTTTTCTAGGAAAAACTAAAAAAGATGAGGATTTATTTGGAAACATTTAGAAGGTTGAGAGGTTTTTTCGGAGAAAAATGAAAAAATATAAGGTGTTTTTCATGAAAAAAATAAAGATGAGGTTTAATCCGAAAAAAAAAAAAAAAAAAAAAAAAAAAAAAAACATAAAATATAAGGTCTTTTATGAGAGTAACACTAAAATAAAACCCTAAACTACAAATATATTATCCAACAATGTTCATTAGGAGAGGCTAGAGACTAGAGCCATTTACTTGTGGAATTTTAGGTTTAAAATGGTATATGAGTATTTTACTTTTTCAAGGAGGAAATGTTGGGAATTGAATTCCATTGGTTTTAGGATGGGATATTGAAATCCAATGGAATTCAATTCCGTAATCATTTGCAACTAAATGTGGGATTGGAATGGAATTGAATTCCAGTTCCATAAATACCCTTTTACCATGGCAAACTAGCAACAAAATCTAACAGTCCATATAAAAAAAAAAAAAAAAAAAAAATGAGAATCGTTGCTCCTACTTTATCTAGCTACTCTGTAGTCTGTTGTAGCCAACAAGACATGTGAGTACATGTTTAAGCAAAAAAAATTATCATTGAATGTATGTCATGAGTAACAAATCTATGCAGAAGCGAAGAGAAGAAGTTGAGAACTTGTGATAAGAACCTGTATGAAGCTGCAGTTTTCCTTGGTGGTATCTGAAAAAAAGACAATAGTATGTAATTAATAGTTTCAACTATGTAAGAACCCAAGTCAAAGATCATACAAAGTTTATGAAATAGATAACATAAGAAATAAATTCATTGGTGATATAAGAGTGAATATCAGCATTGCTTATTTGCTTTCATCTACATTAAGGCCCTGTTTCTTTTTTTTTCCATCATTAAGTGTAGTCTAGATATATGATATATTTTTAAAGGTAGTGTATAAACATATATTGTTTCTTTTGACTGAATCAACAGTTGAATGACCAATTTACTCTTATATCTGAAATTAGTGCTGAAGTAAAAATGACAATCTATCTGATGAATCAAAAATCAGTTGCATTTGAGAGAAATGGGAATCAAGATGAATGGACCTCTGTGTACATTGTTCAATCTCAAAGCAATTTAGCAATTTGGCAATTGGCGTTTCCCAAAACAAATACTGCTTCTAATCATCTATATCAGAAAATTATACATCAAGTTTGCATAACCTAATTCTAATACTCCCTCACAATTGGAGTCCTAATAATTATCCCAAAATAAGAAGTAAAAAATCACAGGTATCCTCACAAATTACAGAAATGGACTCTACTTATGAACGGTGAATGCAGTACACAAATAGCTACAAGTCCAAGAGACATTGATTTGACGATTAAACATGACAAGTATGAGGTGCGGGTGTGTATGATCGTTGGTTAATTAACAAAACTCCGAATTCAACAAGCAAAAATGCTACTATATCTAACCAGAATCCCAATTTAAAAACTATGATCGTCATTCGTTCACTGATGCATGATTCAATCGTGGAAATGTAAAGCAGGGAATGAAACAGATCAGGAAAGGGAGATATTACCAGATAAACGTAAGATTCAGGGACTTGAAAGAGAACGAGCTCAGCCGGTTCAATGTCTCCGGTATCATCTAAACTTGGAGGATCATCATTCTTGTTGCTTGTACTATCCGATTGCTTCTGCTCTTTCTCCATGATACAGACTAGAACAGATGTTCGATTGAATGGATGGAGATGGGGTTTAATGTGGAAAACAAATTTTCTGGATGAAGCAAATCAAAGAGATGGTGGGATTGTTCAATCTGGTGCCGGTGATACGACTATTCGATCTGATGTAAGAGCCCTTTGGCTTTAGCCTTCAACGATGTTTTTAGGGTCTTTTCATTCTCTATTCGTCTCTCATATCATCGAATAGTAATGTATTATTTTTACCATATAGAATTGAGTAAAGTAACTTATATAAATGTTCATTTTAACAACAATATTTTTTATCTTTTTTCTTTTATTATATGACCAATTTGTTAGGAAAATATAATTCCGAAAGTCATTTTAAGAGTTCTCGTTTAATGATTGTATGGTAGTTTCTTTTTAAGTATTTTTGGTTTTGTGTTTATTTTTTTTATGTTAATTTCAATTAATAGTTAGAAATTTGTATTATAATCGGTTATGAATGTATTTCAGGTGTTTAATTATGGTTTATGATTATTTTTAAATTTTTATTATTATAATAAGTTAACGCGTGTTTTCAACATAAAACAGAAAATGTACTGCGCAAAAATTACGAAATTTCATGAAAGGATAATCTACAAATAAACATTACTTTTGACGTGTATCTCATACAATTTGTGCAAATTGCCTCTCATATGGGCTAATAATATGAGTTGGCCCAAGTCTTGGTGGAATCCTCCATGTTCACTAATTGACAAGTGGTCATCCTCTCTAAGAACCAATATAAGACAACTCCATAATTCATTTATCGTCAAACTGTTGTGATAAATTTGTGGCCTTCACAAAAGTAGGTGTGAAATTCTCGTGGGGATTAGATAGATGGGTTTGGTACCCTCAATACTTGATAGTTATTAGGAGTTTGTGGATACGGACTCATATGGCTACAAACCAAGATGCAGATTCTGAGAAGTAGTTGTCAGACAAGTAATTGTCGCATATAGTGGGAGTAAAACAAAGTCCCAAAAACCAGTGGGCATTCAATATATTAATGGGAATGCATATGTAATATCTATTTTTGTAAAACTTGAAATTATATACATGAGTATGATTGTAGTAGAACTAACAGATGGTTTTCCTAGGTAATATAGCGTAGAAGTATAAGTAGTTATAACCTAATGATCAAAATATGTAGAATAACACAATTTTCATTAGTCACAACGTGACAATAGTGAGGTCACGACGTGGGCCACAACGGTGATTGAGTTACGTAAAATAAACAGTGACAGTAACGTACTTTGGAAATGTCACGGTGTGGAAGAGCTTAGTCATGACGTGAAGAAAGTAGATTACCCATTATTTTAGTGACAGATTGAAGAGCGTCGCAGAGGAGGGTGTCATAAAAGATATGCCACGACGTGACAAATAGAATGTCACGATGTGAGCGATGAATCAAATTAAAAAAATACGATCTGTAATAAGATCATTTTCGATAAAACACCCAAAAACACTCTAAGGTGCGATTTCACACACACAAGCCCTAGGGGTTCGATTCTTGGTGAAATTGATAGATTGGAGCTCCAGTTAAGTGAATTAAGGTAAGAATTCTTCTAATCCTCTAATTTCATATTTAGGGAAAGAATTTGAAGATTTTGATGAAACCCTAAGTGAAGAGTTTGAACTTGGATAATGAGATTAAGTTAGTTACTGATGTTATATAGCTTGATATCAGCTTATTCAAGTGATTATAAACTTTGTATGTCAAATTTAAGAATATATGTGAGAAACTAAATCCATGCATGGAAATTTAGTGTTCATAGATGGAAGGTGTGACTTAATGAATTAAGTCATTAAATGATAAAATATGAAGTATGTAATGTTTATAATAGGAAATTAACCTCTTTAGAGTATTAGATATTTGATATGTGAAAGTATTGTATAAAATTGAGATGGTTACATGGCTTTATAAAAGAGAAATGTTTTATATGAATTAAAACATGAATATGATTTGATCAATGATGAGTATGAATTGGTTTTATGAATAGGAAATTAAGAGTGGAGGTAAAATAAGGAAGTACCAAGTTTGGAATACCATCTACATAAGCCATAAATAAGGTGAGTGATTTTTTTTATCAAATTATGAGTTTAATAATAATGAATAAAGTTAATTTTTATTTAGTGTTGAAATGTTTAGATAAATTATACATATTG